GAGCTATGTGCAGCTATAGTTGCAAAGCTACCCTTTCACTAATGAAGTTGTACGTACTTTCCGAGTCAACCAACCTCGGTATGGATTTGTCCGCCACCCAAATCTTCGGTCCCATACCTTGTGCATTCCAAATCCTAGATATGGTATAAAGAGAAATCCTTAGATTGTCCAATGTAATATCTACTTCCTCATCCGAATCAACGAGTAAGTAAGCGGAAAAGACATTTACACTTGTTTTCGATAGAGAAAAATTCATCATACTTATAACATTGTCCTTTAGCTCTTCTCTTTACTAATTCAATTCGTGATAGCTTTTTCATAAATCGAGTGGTTGTGCTACCTCCATTATGGGAACCCATATATGAAATTCCTCCTACGAGTTTGGAATCTTTGCTAGTAGTAAAAGAGAAATTAGAGACTCGTCGACTTTAGATTGAACCAATTAGTTTGAGTTCATCGTACTTTAAACAATGGTTCGGTTACAATTTTCTCTAAAAAGCCCTAGACAGATTTATAATTGTAACTAAATTTAGGGGCTACTACATCTTCATATCCACATGTAGTATGTCGATGAACCTAGTTGTAAATAAATCGATCCGTTGAGTTGCTATTATCAATATAACTCTAGCAAAAAATTAAATCTAGTATTCCTTCATAGTACTCATTTATTTTAGATTGGTCGGTTCCACTAATGGATTCGTTGCTCAATGGGGGATCTAAATCTTATTAAACAATAAGACTCGAATTGATCTTATGTAATGGTCGGTTCTTTTAATTCCAAATGAAAAATCATAATTGGTCTTCGCTAGTCATGTGAAAGGCAACCAAGCCAACCTTGTCTCCTTCTTCGACTTGTTAGGTCAAGAAAAATTACTCATAGAGGTCAAACCACCTCGATGGATCCTCTATTCCACTATAAGAGGGAATCTCCAATTTGGAATTTATTAGAACCACATTTGCATTGATACGACCCTTAGAATTCACTACTCGTTGGTTGGTAAGTCGATTGAGTGTTGCTACCGGATCTTGTTTCGACTTTTGATGCCTTACCTTTATCCAATTATTACAACTCCAGCAATATGTGGATAGCTTTTATACCATCCTCAAGTTCCTCCAATTCCTAACCCATTACATGATTGGATTCGTCGGATCTTCAACCCTAGTTGTTAATTGCTCATAATCACTCATGACGATCAACTCTAATACCAATTTGTTATGGTCTCAATTTACAAATCTCATAATAAGTCCGTTAATAGGGAAATTATTGAACTTTCCCTTATTCATATTTCGACTCTTTCATGAAGAACTTATCGTAAACGAGATAACACACATATGGTTTGTTGTAGAGGCCACTAACTCTTCTAGGCTTTTTTGATTGAATATTTTTCTAATCCTATTTCATCCCTATCATCTGCCTTATATAATTAGCAGGATACGTAAAAAGGAAAATAATAGTTAAGGCTTTAAGCTCAATACGAAATCCTTAATAATACGATCCTAATGATATCGCCAATTTAGGACTTAATAACAATTTCTCGATTGACTTCTTTGTTCTAATAAAATAATTAACGCAAGAAATAAAAAATAATCTCCAACAAGAAAGTAAGTTAGTTGTTAGCTTGTGATGTCGCCAACTTGCTTCTTCGTTTGTAAGTTTTACCCACAAACATGTCTACAACAAAAAAGGAAGGCAAAACTTGTATAAGAAAAGAGCATGAAGTATACAATAATGATAGAGTGGGATGGTTGAGAGGACCATTGATTAGAAAAGGATTAGAGTATGTTTAATTGGAAAATTTAATGAACCCCTAATCAAAAAGTAAGCTATTACCCTCTTGTTACGATCATGAAGTCTATCGAGGTCTTTGCTTCATATTCTTATGAAAGGAGAAAAAGGGATTGAACTATCTCAATGACTATCTTTTATTATGGAGTGTTTGGTGAAGAAATTACTAGAAATGAAAATGGTGCGATTTTATACTATGTCTTGCTAGAGTAAGCATCGGGAGGGGACATTAGATGGAGTTATCATGGAAACTGAAAATGTTGGTTTGTTAAATTTGATGTGAAAGAATACACATGGTCTATTCTTAAAGGTGTTTATATATCCATAATAATGGTTATGTGAATTGTGCTTGAGAATATACTACTCAAATCCTCCGGTGCCGAAGTGATGAATTTGATAGGAAATTTTGGGTTGCTTAAGATATCGGAGAACAAGAACAAGAAATGGATAATTGATCTTTCTTTAAAAGGGATTGCTACGTATATGGGACCCGAGAATGTACTAATAACTCCTCTATTTTATTATTTGTATATCTTTACCATAGCTTATTGTTCGATTTCTCTGCACTTGTATGCGTAAGCTTGGCAATTTTTGTATAGTCGAAAGAAGATGAGAAAGTAAATGATTTGGGTGGCCTTATTCTTTGATATTTAGGGCATTACTAATTAGGTAATATATGGTTTCTTAATGATTTCTAATTCACACGACTAAGATCCGTAGCATATGGGATCTTGCTCTTTTTAAAATTTTATGACCTTTTTGTTATTAGTTATGTAAGAGCCGGGAGTATCAATTTTACATGTACTCGATTTTCTTCAATGTTTTTTTTTTTTTTTGTGACATTTCATCCCGAGATTCAACTTTTTCTTTACGCATTCTACAAGTTATGCGAGTTGATATTATTTTTATACAACAAGTTTCTTTCTATTGGCAATACTTTTGACACATTACGCAAAATGGTCTTATATTATGTAAGTGTCAAAGTAATATAATTTCGATTCTTAGTCTTCAGTTGGGCCTTTTCTTGATGTATCTAGGTGATTGATCAATTATTTGGGAAAAAGCTAAAGTCTAATATCTATTAAGAAACGAATCAAGTAAGAAAAATATAATAGAAAGATAAGAATAATCACACAACATATTTATTTCTATTAGAAAACAAATCAAACAAGAAAAGTAAAATAGAAAAATAAAAACAATCTCACAACACAAAGATTTATATGACTTGACAATTGTGTTTACTCTATAACTCGTATTAGGAATTCTTATTAGAATTTATCAATTGACATGACCAAAAGGTGTTCCCCAACGGACGATCTCTTATTTCTTTTATTGTGAGTTTTTTTTTTTTTTTTACTTGTTTTAATGTTTTAAAATTTTATAAGTTCAAGAAATAAAAAGGTTTTGACATAAAAATAAACAAGTAATTTGTTAAGTTTATTAATTTGCTATCTTAATGCTTGTATTAAGCTAAAAAAATATTTGTTACACATAGTTTTGTATTTTTTTTTTTTAATTGTGCTTGTTGAACTCTTACAATTAGCATATTTAAACTCAAGTTAAAATAATTGAGTACTCATGTTAGCTTACTATATAAACGTGATGGATTTGGAGATACAACACGTTTAGAATGAGTTTATAGAAATCATAATGAGGGAGAATGACAACTTTGGAAATGATTTTAGATATTTAGGAGTACAATTGATTACATAGAGGTAATTATACTTTGGTAACTTCAATTTATCATGTCATATATATATATATATATATGTGTGTGTGTATGATCTGAGAGAGTGTGATAACTCTAAAATCTAAAATAGCATCCTAATTAAAAATATATATTTAAATGTTTTTACGGATGATTCAACATTTAAAAGTGTAAAATTATGAAGTAAAATCATAAAAACTTGCATTTCTTTTGCATTTGTTGTCGCAATTAGTTCATTTGAAATACTTTTGTTTGAATTTTTTCGATCAACAAACTTGGGTATTTGAACTATTCATTTTTTGTTTGTTTCAAATTGAGAAAGTTTTTATTGCTTAATTTGAAAAGGAAAATTAATACAAATGGTTTTTTTTTTGAAATTTTTATCGCTCGAAAGCCCGTCTTGAGCCGGGCCCGATCAAGATCTAGGCCTGAATTATCGGACCAGGCCTAGAAAAACGAACAAGGTTTGACTTAAGTCCAACTTGACCCATAAACTTGTCTACTCATCAGGTTTGACCCATTGTCGTCCGTCAAATAAGAAAATGCTGACTTCGATGAAATGATATGTCGTCCATTGGCAGTGCGAGAAACTGGCTATAAGGATGGAAGGAGTAAATTATAAATTACTCCCTTATGTTTTGAGAAACGAATTAACTAGTCTCTCTTATTTTAAAAATTAATCATCTAGCCTTTTTCATTTTAATTCAGTTAATAATTTAATCATTTTGTCAATTTTTTCATTAGATTAGTGATTTTTTTTTCAAATCTCCATTTCTTAGATGTTTTATTTCTCTTTTTCACACATTCTTTTTATCTATTCTCAATTGAAAATAAAATAGAGTAATTTGAAAACAAAAAATACTATTTTAACAAAAAACTAATAAAAAAAACTAAAACGTAAAAGGCTCAATGAATAGTTTTATTTTTTAAATAAAACTAATTAATTTATTTTCCTGAACAAGGATGAAAATAATTTACTCAAAGATAGAAGTGAAAGAAGAGAGAGACAGCCTCTTCACTTTTTTTCTTTTCTCTTCTCTCAAAATTGCAGGCTATAAATAACTTCTCAAACTCTAATAATTTTTTATATTTGAAATTGAAATGTTGTACTCTCTTTTCATCAGTTTTTTTGTTACATGATTAATTTTTTTTCAAATTGTCCTTTTTTAAAATATTTTATTTTTTCTCATTTATCTAATATCTTTCTCTCTCCTCAACCAAAAGTTAAAAAAAAGGGCAATTTGAAAATAAAATTATTAATTTAATAGAAAACTCATGAAAGAGCTAACGTATTGATGGAATTAAAACATAAGAAATTAAAAGATTAGTTTTATTTTTAAAGGATTAATTAATTCATTTTTCTAAATAAGAGGGATTGATTCATAATTTACTCGAAGATAGAAGCGATAGAAGAGGGGGACAGCCTCTTCACTTCTCTTCTCCCCTCAAGATTGCAGACCATAAATAACCTCTCAAACTCCAACAATTTTTATTTTTTAAGCTGAAATGTCGTACCCTTTGCCACACTCAGTCCCTGTACTCTCTTTTGAATCTTCTAAAACGCGCACGAGAAAGAAAGGGCACTTCGAAACTCTGTGCGCTTCCTCCTTTCAGCATCCCAATCTTCAACAAGAGTCGGATAACGAAGGCAAGAGACAGGTGATTTTGGTGGAGAGATATGGAAATGGAACTGCTAAAAGGTATACGTTAGACGACAGCCTGCAACTAGAAGGTTTTCTTGAGCAAAATGGCTCTGAAAATCGTAGCTTCAACGATTCACATGTGTCTGAGGCTCGTTTGTCCTGGCTTCCGGATTTTCTCAAAGGATTTATTCTGCCTGCTGGCTTCCCAGGTCACCATTCACAAACCCATCTTTTATTTTTTTATTTTTTTCCTGTTTTCTAGTAATAGCTTTGTTTCTTACTCTTCGTCACTTCAAATGCAGGGTCCGTTTCAGATGACTACTTGCAGTATATGGTGTTACAGTTCCCTACCAATATTACTGGGTGGATATGTCACACTTTAGTCACATCAAGTCTTCTTAAGGCATGTCAATCTAACTCAGGCAGTTAATTTTACATGGGTATGTTTTCTAGGATCAACACTCTTTGCTTAGTTACTTTGTTGCTTCACATTCTTGTTCTACACCTTATGTCATGATCAATCAGGGATGTTCTATGTTTTTTTCATCTTCTTTTAAATATTTTGAATTATCTCAAGATGTAACTTTAGCTCTGACAATATGTAAGTATAGTGATGTGAATTTCTATGTACTACCTTTGCAGGCAGTTGGTGTTGGCTCTTTCACAGGAACTTCTGCTGCTGCTTCTGCTGCTGCCATCAGGTGAATGAATGTTCATTTTCGTTGGTTGCTTATATATTAAATGTATCAGACTAGTATTCATCTTGTGGAGTGCAACGAATTAGTGTTTTATTGGACTGAGATGTAGGTTTTGCAATTGTTTCTGCAGATGGGTTTCAAAGGATGGCATTGGAGCTCTGGGGCGGTTATTCATTGGTCTGAAAAATTATAAGAAGAGCTATGGAAATAAGTAATTGAATAAATACAAGTTCTGTGTTAAATGGTTTCAATGACTATTGCATGTTTTTCTAGGTGGACGGTTTGGAGATCTTTTTGATGATGATCCAAAACAATGGCGCATGTATGCTGATTTCATTGGCAGTGCAGGAAGGTTTGTGTTCTAGCTTTTTTTTGTTTGAGATGAAGAGAATCAAAATGAAATATGTGTGCAAGACTTATCAAAATTTTCTGTTCCATTATGCAGCATCTTTGATCTAATTACTCAATTATATCCTGCCTATTTTCTACCATTAGCTTCTCTTGGAAACTTGACCAAGGTATTCTCTTTTAAAGTTCTTTATTTATGCCATCCATCATTTGTCATTTTCTATAATTTTTCATCAGTAAAGAAAATGCACTTCCTAGACGGGGCTTCTTTGCTTGTGGTCTCTATTGAAACATGCTTTAGCATAGCACAGCATAAAAATCACAAGAGACAGCAGGAAATGTTGGTACATGTCACGTGTGTCAGGGGTGGCACAAATGCAATTTGTACACATGGTAGAAACATGTCAGCCATGCTTCATAGTATACAGATGTATTTTCTTATTTTGGATTCAGATCAGAAACACAGATACTAGAAAACATGATTTTCCCTTTTTTGTTAAAATAGAAAAATCTGTCATCTTGCCAGGACAGACATGAACGAGATAGCGCAGGTGATATGGAAGCAAGTTTTGTCTGTTGACTTCAGATCAATCAAGGGTTTTACTTAGTTGTTAGCTTTCTTCAAAATTATGATATCTATAGCTCTAAATTAATGAGATATAGATTCACTCAAGTAATCTTCTTTCCCAAACTAATCAGGGTCAGCTACATGCATCTTCCTTCTTCATCAGCTTTATTATGGACTAAAATCTCCTTAAGTTATGATTCTGCATCATTCTTCATCACCTTTTGCCCACTTCTCCCCTTCTCTCGCCCAATACTTCGATTTGACTGCCCTTCTTCACCAGTACATGCTTAGGTCTGTATCAGGCCATCTCAGACTGCATCCCTTAACTCATCCTCGATAGGTGACATCTCCATCCTTCATGGATGTATATGCATTCATTTCTAAATCGGCAGCCCTTTCTTGTGTTTCTATATGTCCATCTTTCAACTATTTCATGTTATGAAAGTGCTGCTTCTAATGATATAAAGATCATCGATGTATTTGTTTGGTACCAAACTAAGATAATAACCCAATCATTCTATCAATGACGGGATGCATTGTGCTGTTTTTTTAATCCATTTGTAATCTTCAGCTGTGCTGTTATCATACTAACTGGAATCACACTATATAGTTTGTTGCAGAAGCTACATCCTTGATTAAATGGCGTGTATAACTGTAAAAACATAAACCTGTATGAGGGCAAAACAAGCCAATACTACGCATCAGAAGTACCTATAATCTTGTAGAAATCAAATTCTTATGTTTTGGTAGTTTATTTCTGTAAAAGGCACTGTTCAAACATGCAATGTTGTAGATGAATAGGTGCATAACAACTGATCTATTAATGTATTGTGGTTGTACTTAATTTCTTAAGGATGCCATTTAACAGGCTGTAGCAAGAGGACTGAAAGATCCTTCATCCCGTGTGATTCAAAATCACTTTGCTATCTCAGGGAATCTGGGAGAAATAGCAGCGAAGGTAGACTTCAATTTACTATAAGCTAGAGTGTTTCCTCGTTGGTTGATGCTTTTGTACCAAGACAATGTAATAATCTTAAACAACTGGTATTGTTCCCTTATTATGTTCATAATCTTCGAACTAGCTTGCATGAATTTGGAAATGCCATGTGTTGTAGTTAGTCTAGGAGATGGAATGTGGAAGACAGGTGCATCAGCGTTGGAATGTTGCTTAGGATACAAGGCTAGAAAAAACAGCATTAATGTTGATATGGAAATGATTTTGTTGTTGACCACTCAATGAGTAAAATTTAATTTTGTAATTTACTGAAGAATTTTTTAAATGTGAAGCATTGCTGAATCTGCTTATTAAAGGGGAGAGTAATGTAGGCTTCATTTTCTGTACCCCGGAATTATACCTTGACTTTTGATATGGCTGATGCTCCTGATGTATGTGTAATTATACCAGGATCACAGTTGTTCTATTTGTTGAAAGTGCAAAAGTTGATTTACTGTTGAATCTTTTGATAGAGGAAATTGTAAGCCTTGTGTTGATATTTGAAAGGTTCTTGTTTTTGTACTACTTTACTATGTTGTAATTGGAAGAATGGAAAGAGGAAACGTATATGAGCTAGACTTTGACTGCCATTTTCTGTCCCAGATTAATGGTGTATTAGTTTTCCAGGAAAAAAGAATGTTTTCCTGATGACTTTTGATTGAATGTGTCAGGAAGAGGTTTGGGAAGTAGGTGCGCAGCTGCTTGGCCTTGGGCTGGGCATACTGATCCTGGTATGTGTTGTGGCTTCCGAAGATGAGTTTTTGTCTATCTAGTTACTAATTTCAGTTTTGACAAATTTCGTGGTTCTTTGATAATGCATTTAATTGAGTGTTAGAATTGTGATTTATGTGTGCAGGATACACCTGGCCTCGTAAAATCCTTTCCTGTGCTGACATCGACATGGATGAGCATGCGGCTTCTGCATCTTTGGTTACGTTATCAATCACTTTCGGTTCTACAATTTGACACAGTAAGAACGCTATGCATTCAGTTCTTTTTCTCCTGGATGTTTATGTTGGAGAACCTCTTGTGAAACAGATGGAGTGAACCACACTGAATGTGGAATTCTGTTCACATTGGGGCATGAATAAATTTTCATCTTTGAATCATTACTGGGATTTTCACTTTGCTTTGCTCGTTTACAGATAAATCTCAAGCGAGCTCGTATATTGATAAAATCTCATATTTTGCACTCTCGTGTGCTGGGTAAATTTCACACTTTCAAGTCTTGTTTTCACTTCTTCTTTTTTTTTTTTTTTTTTTTTTTTTGCAACAAAAATCAAAATCTATTTGTTCAGGATCTGTTGATTGCAACCAGGAAGAGAACATTTTATCATGGGAGACATTTGCTAGGCCACGAATAATTTTTGGTGTGCCCTTAGAGGAGATGTTTGGTGGTGAGAGATCTGTCGCCAAGGTGTACTTTCGCTCACCTCAATTTAAATCCTCTGGATGAATTCATCTAATGCTCTATGGTATTTTTTTTCATGGTTTGAAGAGGATAGACGTGAATTTCACTGGACTCAGTTTGAATTCCTAAGCATTTTTTTAGCCTGTCTTTTATCTAATGCACAAGTTATTGGCTATGCTAGTATATATCTTGCAACCTTAAATTGTTAGTTAATCAAATTAATACTTCCTTAGCTGCTATTCAAATAAAACACAGAGTTATAAAGGTAAATTAACAATTTGATAAAGTCAATTTTGAGCTGTATTCTTTCAACATGGGCTTATTTGTAACTTACCAAAATCAATTAGGAAAGGCAATTTTATGGCTATGGAAATATTATTGCAGTACTTAGATATACTGGTACTTATATGGCTAGATTTCCAATGCCATCTCTTTAGTTGAACTTAATTTGAGACGTTTTCTCATGGCATGAATATATATATATATATATCCCTTGGAATCTTAGTGGAAGAGAAATATACCTCTTTGAACAACTTTGTGAAGAAATGAGCTTCGTATTGTAAAAGCTATGAGACAATCAGTAATAGGATAACTTTTTAATGCTGAATGTTTGATAACTAAAGTAGCCTAAAAGTAGATAATTATATCTCCATTTTGGGTAATGGGAGGGAATTTAAAACGTTGCCTGCTGTAGCTCCAATCTGGATGTCTAATGTCACCCCTCTGTTTTTTCTCCTCCGAACAGATAAAGATGCTTCTGAAACTATATGCAAAGGAGAAACATTTTCTTGTTGTGAACCAGCAGAAAACAGACTTTGAGGTCTTTGTGTCATTCAAGGTGCGCAAGAAAACAATAAGTTGGAATGATTTGTGGGTGGATAAGTGATTAGCGTCCTCATCAGCTCAGTGAAACTTCCTAATTCCATGCAGGTGGGAGCTACGAGTAAGTCAGTTTTGCGCAGCGTGTGGCAGACTTATTGGTTACATGAAAACTGGAAAAGTTATGACAGCTCCATTTCTGATGGCGCCTTTGATCAGCTTGCACAGAGCCTACTGAAGATGGAAGTTGAGTTTGAGGATTTCATCCAGCAGCTAGATGCAGCTGGATGGGATACACATCAAATAAATCTGAAGGTCCCTCGGGAAATCTCCATAGAAGAATTGGGTCCTGTTTGATTCTTAAACGTCAGCAATTGAATTGTCATTTCTATGGTTATTATCAAGAGCCATCTCCTGCAGTGCTTGACATGTGATCTATGAGCCAGAATAGACATGCTGTTGGCATAGTTTCATTTATCAGGCTGCTCCTGAGTTGATCCAGCTGAACGTGTGCTAGTCCTGCTTTAAAAGAAACAGAGATTTGCAAGCAATTTTGCCAGAGGGAAGGGTTCCAGGTCATGGGCTAGTGGGAAGGTTCTGGTTGACTGAAAGGGCACACTACCATTGTAACCAGAGGGAAGCTCGTTCCTAAGCTTCCACAGAAATTCCGGCTTTTTGTAAATATCGCAGGATTTTTCTTGTGTTAAATTTCGTGGAATTCATATGGTACCCGCGTGTTGCCGCGGCAGGATTATAAAATGTTCTTAGTATCTTAATTAATATAAAAAATTTAAGTTAATGAGATTGAAATAATTGTGGAATCTTTTTTAATCGAATACGTACTTTTCAGTATTTAATACCATGTGTGTTTTTATTTTTAAGTTTATATATATATATATATCATGAATATGTTTGATTTTGATAAATGTAAAAAAAAAAAAAAACAACTGTATAATCAATCATCTATATTATTTGAAAGGTTAGTGTCAAATTTATCAATCAAATTGTTACTTCTATCATTTTTTTCAAAAAAAAAAAAAATTACCTATACACCATCTACTAATATTTATCATATAATAATTATTGATAGTTGTTTAAAAAAAAATGATGAGAATAACAATTTAATTGCTAAATTTAGCAGTATCTTATCTGAAAATCTAATAAAAAAATCAATAATTCGAAAATGACAAAGACGACAACGAAAGAGTGCTCAATCAATTTATGTTGAAAGAGTGATTAATTTTAATCAACGAATCCGTAATTATTAATTAAAAAATCATATTATTCTCAACTTGATAGTTAATTTTTTTATTATTATTATTTTGCAAATTTTTTTTTATTATTATTTTGCATCAAGGTAATTGTTAACGTTAATTTTTTTTTAACACATGCTGAAGAACTATGATTATTTTTTACATGAAAAACAATCAGTCAAAAATTAATACAAATTAAAAGATGATAAATTATTAACATTCAAATTCTTGTGTATTTAGACCTTTAAAACTTTCTTATCCTTAAATTCCTAAACTTAAGAGACCAAGTTAAAATATTTTAAAGTTTTATAGGACTGAAATAAAAATTAATCTAATGAGAATATTTGTATTTATTCAAAAAAGTTTCTTACTTGTCATGGAGAAACGGTTATGGTTTTTTTGAGAATAATAATTTAGTCGGCTATTGTAATCTTTGATTTTTTCGTGTGTGATTGGGGATGTAGACAGAAGAATCTTGAAAGTATTAGTATCTAATATGAATATAGAAGAGCATTTCTTCTCCTGAATGTTAATCTGGAGTCAGTGCTGATTTTTTTTTTTTATTATTTGTTATACCATCTTAGATTGATCAATTATCAATTATCATATACTTTTTATAAGATTGCATGAATAATATATATATATATATATATATATATATATATATATATATATATATATATATATTTTACAACAATGATTATTTTTTATACCAATTTATAAAAAAATTCAAAATCATGGAAAATAATCTCTCTTTATCCAGATTCCATTAAAAAAAAAAAAACCATTAGAAGAAATTTGATAGTGAGAAAAATAATAAAATAATATATGATGAAAAACTACAAAAGAAAAAAGAAAAAAGTTGGGTCAGGAGAGCGTCAGGCCTGCGTGCATGACCCAAGACTTTTAAAAATAAAAATAAAAATAAAAATAAAAAGAGAACCTTTAAAAGTCCATGCTTCGTTTCTTCTGTGCAATTTGTTCGGTCCAGTCCATGCTTTGTTAAAAGGAAGAGAAATGCGTCTCAGCTTTTGTAATTTGCTCCAGTTCCCTCCAGAGCCCTGGCCATGCCATTTTCTCTGCTCTCACCATTCCTCCATTCACACAATCCCTGTCAATTCAAACGTACCGCCATTGGAAACACTAGGCTGGTGTTATTTTTTAAATAATGACTTTTATAAAGCTTTTGAACTGAAATTAAGTTGTAATATCTAACCAAATTTGCAAATGTTGGAAGTTTGCAATTCTAGCTTTTATTTTTCCTGTTTGTGATCAATGTTGCTTCAAAGTTTGGATTGGGAACGACTAGTTCAACAAATTAAGCTTATTCTGTACCCAATACTATTGTAGGACATCAAGCGAAAACAATCGCATATTCTAGTGCTAGTTTTTAGTGGATCAGTCTGGTACTAGACGTGTTATAGATTTGTCTTCCAAAGACATCTATCAGTTCCTTCCGTAATTTCATTGCCAAGACACCCTTTCTGGGTCTCTCTTCTAAAACCCTGCAGTTTGTAAATTTCTTTGTGATTTTGTTTCCGTTGTAACGTTGTTTTAGTTCCACGACCATGAAGGAAGCTTGCATTGTTAACTTTTGGCAGTTTTTGTGGAACTACATAAAAATAAATCAATCTACGTGGTATCTGAACTCAGGGTTAGCAATTTCTTGTTGTGGCCTGATTTTGGAGAAGATAGAGTTCGTGGAAGTATTGCTACGATGCTACCCTTCCAGCGAAAGGCAGAGACACTGGTGGACATGGTTCTTGGGATGAATGTTGTACCCACTAAGGAATTGGCATTAAAATTGTATTGTTTAACCAGAGGAGAACATGGAAATGAACAGAATTTTCACTGTCACTGGAAATTGGACATCCTAGAGAGTAGTATTTGGCAAAATTGGATTTCGACTTCAAGATTCAATTAGAATCCTGTAAAAAACAGCTGCCTCGTCATGCCCCCAAGCTAGAATAGAAGCAGCAACATCCTAGAGAGTAGTATTTGGCAAATCCTTGATGGCCATCCAAGAACAGTTACGTCATGTTAATTAGCTAAATCCATGGCCGTGAGGTGGTATTGGACTGGGCTGATCTTGCAAAGACTGAAAATGCAAGACAAAAAGATGGGATACTAACAAGTCCAAAAGAATGATATCAATCATCATTGGTCCATCAATTTCCTAAGAATTCTATTTCTCTGTTGTTGACCAATGCAATGACCAAAGGGTTCTTGGACTTCTGGCTTGGTAACTCAGCTTACAAAACAGGTCCAATCTTTCATTTTAAATAACTTTTTCTTTCTTTCTCAGTCTATAGTTGTTGTGTCGGCGAAACAAGCAAGCAAATGGTTGCCTCTCCCTCTTCAACCTTGCTGCCAATGGTTTGCTGTTGTTTTTCCCTTTAAGATGGTTAACGAGAGGTTGGCCTGTCTCTATCAATAAATATCAATCATTCAATCATTGCTTTTTTATCTCTTCATTCTTATCCTGTTTTTGATTTGTCAAATTAGGCAAAAAAGTCAGACAATTCTAAGCAACTCATCTGGCTGGTGAATGCTTCTCGATTTTGCACATCCCTCCTTATCACAGCAGTAATTATAAATTATTCCCTCTTGTCTTAAAAAAAATGAATTAATTTATTCTTTTTTATTTAAAAAATTAATTATTTAGCCTTCCATGGTTAAATTTTTATCAAATCTATCAAATTAACACTTAATATCTAAAAAATAAAAAAATAATAAATTTAACGAAACACTGTCGAAAATAACAATTATTGAAAACGTAAATATTTAAATAATTAATTTTTGCAACAAAATGGATTAATCTATTTATTTTTCTAGCGTTTTTATTGCAGGACAGGATTGGTTAATTTCATATATTTTGGATCCATCCAATCAAATTATAACTTGTAGATAACGACATTCCCCCTTTGACTCTTTCACTATTAATTATGGAACTAATAAATGTGTGGTGGTATGATTTGACTACTCATATGCTTTTGATCAAATCTACATTAATTTCTCTTTAATGGGCCTTGGAGTCTCTTGCTTCATCAGGATTATATTGTTTTTTTTTTTTCTCTAGAAGATAGTAAAATTGTTACTAGATGATTAATTGAGTAAATTATAACTTCAAAAACTAATTATTCAATCTATGTATGTTTAATTTTTATAAATTTAATTATTTTTTAAAATGAAAAATATAAAAATATTGATGAAAAAATGATATTTTATCGAATAAAATAATATAAAATCAAATGAAACAAAAAAATTATTAAAAATTTAATTTTTCAAATAAGAGAGAATAATCAATTTATTTTTTGAAACTAGAGGGACTAATTTATAATTTATGCATGATTGATTACTATCAAATGGCCCATTGTTTCATTAATAAAGTGGGATTAGGAAAATGTCAAAAGTAAGTGGGATGAGAGTTTATGGTCAGATACCATACACTGGTTTAGACTAGTGGGAGAGAAACGATGGGAAAGCCAAGTTTATAAATATAAATATTATTTTTTAATCTTTCAGGTGACCAGCTTGAGCTTATCCATAGGAATCCCGTTGTCAAGCTCTAAACATCATTAGTGTGAGTTAACACTACTTGACAAACCGATTACTTACAGGTTCTTTTCTAAGTTCTAAAATATGGATCGATGTTTGAACTGAATATTTAAAATATTCTTACAATTTAAATCACTTGAACTTAATATTAGATTGACTAAATGGTTTAGATATTTCTTAAATTTTAAGTCACTTGAAAATCAGTGTTTTAATTTTTAATTCTGAATTGAGCTTTTTTAAACTATTTTTCATTTGG